AAAAAAAAAAAAAAAAAGAAAGAAAAAAGAAAAGACTTCCTGTGGAACTGAAGCTATTATAGATTTTCAAGGCACCAGGCATTGGATGACTCAATCCGATCTGAGTAAGCTGGAGACACAAGAAGTATAATCAGATAACGGGACACCTGCCATTGGGATTGTGCTGCATTCCATACCTATGACTTTATATAACTCATATTTTTGCTTTTTAAGAATTTCTCAAAAACAACGATAGGTAAGTTTTTCTTGTACTCTAGTATAGAAAGATTTTCTTACCTCTGAAGAGGAAGGTCGACTTGGATTGAGCGACATATTCACTAATGTCTGAATAGGATAATTATCAGTTGGAACTTTGGTTTTTTAAAAATCTTTCTTCATTTAAGTAGTATTAAATAAAAGTTACACTATATTTTTGGCTTAATATACCATCCCACTCATTTCTGGTTTAAAAAATGAGAAGAAAAACAAAAGCTTTAAAATAGAGTCCAAACGAATACTTAGCAATGTATATAATCTATGTATTATTCTAAGTCAGAAAGACATATTACTAGTACATAGGGCTGGGAGGCTGGTAATTGCAACGAAATGAGTATACTTCCTCTACAACTAAGTAAACCAATACATTTCATTATAATGGTGTAATTCTTACAAGGTGTATTTTACTATTCTAAACAATAACTTGTTTCTTGGTCAAAAATTAAAGTTAAAGATATGGTATTTTACATAAAGCAGAAATACACTTTTGGAAGTGGAAAGACCAAATTTATACAAATGACTGTGGAATGATGAAAACTGTTTTATGACAATGTATTTCCTCCTGGGCCTGGACACTTCTGTAATCATAATTGTGAACAGGCCGGGCACAGTGGTTCACGCCTATAATCCTAGCACTGTGGAAGGCCAAGGTGGGTGGATTGCTTGAGCTCACAGGTTCGAGACCAGCCTGAGCAAAAGTTAGATCCTGTCTCTACTGAAAATAGAAAAAACTGAGGCAAGAGGTTCACTTGAGCCCAAGAGTTGGAGGTTGCTGTGAGCTATGATGTCACAGCACTCTACCCAGAAACACAGCTTGACTCTCTGTTTCAAAAAAAGAAAAAGAAAAAAAACTTGTGAACAATCACTCCAGATGACAATACTAGCCTTTAAATTTGTGTATTACGTCCTGCATTTTTCTTCAGAGGATTTATGGCAATTCATGCCATAAGAATGAATGATAGAATTAAAGATACATGAATATATAATGAAAATTGAAAAATGAGGTAGAATTGTTAATTATTCCTTTAAAAAGGAATTATCTACAAAAGATTTGACTTTCTTTAAAATTCCCCTGAACATATAAAAATAAATTAATTTTATTTATCAGTTAAATCTACCAATTAGAAATATTACAAATCAAAATATCAATGTTACCTTACGAATTTTTCACAATACAAAACAGATTCACAAAACTTTATTCACAGAAATGAAGTAAGAACTGTGCAATGTTTAACCAAGAGACATATTGCAGAATTAACATGTTCTTCCAGCTAAGTACACAGTGGAGGTCTAATTACAGCTGGGTCTTTTCCACTAATAATTCACACATTTAAGAACAGTTCAATGATCACGTCCCCCAATTGTTTAATGTATTCTCTGCCATGTTGTCACATCAAGAGTGTGGCTCACCAAAGGGCTGTGACAGGAGTTTCACCTGCTTCAGGATCTGTAGCAGTGGATTTTAAATTTTGTCTTAATGGTCAGTAATGAGAAGTTGTTTAAATGAAACATATATTTTTTCACCAAACCCATTCCTTTCTTGTGACTCATTAGTGGACAAATACCCATCAGTGTGCTTTATTTTACTTATTTAACCCACTGGTTGTTATTCTGTAACAATTTGTATAAATGGTAAATTTTGAATGTGTTGTTATTTTACTTAGATGTAAAATTCCACATGTATTAAAAGAAAACGTACAAAGTAAAAAAAGGAATTATCAAAGTAGGACAATCCTTCATAATTCCAAATCTTTCCAAAGCTTTTTCTATTTTTTTTGAGACAGGGTCTCACTTTGTTGCCCTTGGTAGAGTGCAGTGATGTCACAGCTCACAGCAACCTCAAACTCTTGGGCCCAAGCCACTCTCTCCTCTCAGCCTCCCCAGTAGCTGGGACTACAGGCGTCTGCCACAACACCCAGCTATTTTTTAGAGACGGGGGTCTCACCCTTGCTCAGGCTGGTCTTGAACCTGTGAGCTCAGGTAATCCACCTGCCCGGCCTCCCATTTTTCTACATTTCAACACATTGCTCCACCTTGGCTTATACACGTAGTAAGAAAAACTTTAAGCCCAGCAATACCAGACCTCTGATCTGGTACTGCTTATATAGCTCTATGAAATCCTATCAGATATCATTAATTATTTTAATGGTATCAAAATCGAAAGATTATCTCCTGGGATATCTTCTAAGTCAAATTAGTTTCACGTATTACTTCCTGTGTAAATTTCTTACAATTTTTCTATAGTCCAGAAAGCTAAGACTCTCACAATAAATAAAACGTAAAATGTGATTTGTCATTTTGACGATGTCAAACATTATTTTAAATACATTAGTACTTTAAGAAAACATTTAGATAGTTCCATTTCTGTATCTAGCCAAAGGCTCTTTCTGACAATACACTAATATTAGTCAAATGAAATATATGATTATATATGGTCACCTTCTTATCTTTCTTAATAGATAAGAATTAGTGGTAATAACCTACAATAATTACAGCATATAGGCATCATTAACTGGTATGCAAATTAGGAGGCCAGTTGTTTAATTTCTGTAGATACATTAAATTTGATATTTCAATTTGGAATTCATTCCTCCCTCTCTTCCTTCTTTCCTTCCTTTTTTTGTTTTTTAGATGAAGTTCTTCTTGTGCTGTCCAGGATAGAATGCAGTGGCATCATCTTATCTGACTGCAACCTTGAACTCCTGGGCGCAGGTACTCTTCCTGCTTCAGCCATACCATTAGCTGGGACTAGAGGCATGCCACCATGCCTGGTTAATATTTTCTATTTTTTGTATAGGTTGGGGTCTTGAACTCCTGGCCTCAAGGGATCTTCCCTATTTGGCCTCTCAAAGTGCTAGGATTACAGATGTGAAACTGATGCCCAGACCCAGAATAAATTTTTAATTAAGCAAACTCAAGACAGGTCAATCAAGACCTTTACTGTTGTCCTAAGGTAAACTGTCCTACTACATAGGTTGAGTATCTCTAATCCAAAAACCCTAAATATGAAATGCTGCAAAATGTGTAATTTCATGAACCCTGGCATGATTCTTAAAGGAAATGCTCATTAGAATGCTTTGGATTTTGGATTAGGGATGCTCGTCTGGTAAGTATATAATGCAAATATTCTGAAATTCAAAAAAATTTGAAATCGGAAACATTTCTGGTGCTAAGCATTTCAGATAAAGGATACCCAACCCGTATTATTCCTTCTAAAGTAACACTGAAGGCTGGGCATGGTGGCTCACACCTATAATCCTAACACTCTGAGAGGCCTAGGGGGGTGGATTGCCT